AGGTGTCGTGTGATGCAGACGGAAGAGGCTCTGGCGTATTTTACCACGTGCGACGAAAATGGAGCCCGGACCATGCGCTTGACGCGGGCAGCTGTCTCGCAAGCTGAGGGCACATCTTGGCTGCACAGTGATCAAGAAGTGCATGGTATTGCGAGACCCGGTCTTGCGGGAGAGGAAATTGTGACTGCACCATGCTGGAAAGGTGCCCCACAGAGTGTTGCTCCGCGACTCCAAACACGCAGGACATAGATTACACCACTGCAGGTGTCGTGTGATGCAGACGGAAGAAGCTCTGGCATAGTTTACCACGTGCGACGAAAATGGAGCCCGGACCATGCGCTTGACGCGGGCAGCTGTCTCGCAAGCTGAGGGCACATCTTGGCTGCACAGTGATCAAGAAGTGCATGGTATTGCGAGGCCCGATTCGGCTGGAGAGGAAACGATGACCGCACCATGACCGCCCGACACGTGACAAACGCCCACAAGATCTAGCTCACCAGCCGGGTGTACCCATAAACGCTTCCTGGATCACATGCACAAAAGGCTTGCCAAAATCACTCCCTTCCCCGTAACACCTTTGCTACTTCTTCAAGCATAGCTTATCTTGAGCAAATCTTGTGCACATTCGCGAAGTCTTGCAGGTCGCGGCTTCGCAATCCGAGCCCCTCGCTTCTGCACATTTCTCTGCCTGCAACATTGTGCGAAACCGACGACACGCTTTCATGCCAAGCTGTTGTTGTCCTAGGCTTGGAACTGAAGGATCAAGCTACGGGCGCCGGTGCTGCCCTGGGCACTCGGTCATCGATTCTGTTGTTGTGAGCATTTAAGCAATTGCAGGATCTGAAGCTGACTGCGCACTGCTATGCCGATTTCCATCCACTGGAACGGTTTTGCCTGGAAAGTGGCCTGCAGCTGCCGCTGAAGCTTTTCCAACTCAACAGCCTTGCTCTGATCTCTGACTGCTAAGCTACGAGGCTTAACTGCTGCAATGCAATGCTCTCACTCTCGGGTGTCAGTAAGACGCAACCAGTGAAAGCCGGTGTTCCTGATCTGCATCGAAACGACTTACAGGACAGGCGCAGCTGGCTTGACTCGGAGAAGAGAAAGTACGTCTCCGATGCTCTCAGATGACCCTTGATAAGAGATGTGGAGACATTTGGAAACCAAAAAATTCAAAACGCACAAAAACAGAGGGACAAGGCGGAGTAGGAAATGGCAACGACAGCCAGCTACACATTCCTGCAAGCTCAGGTGACATGCGAAAAACGGCTGCGGCAGCGACGTTCGCCGTGCTCGTCCCTACGCACAAGGCGTCCCACGCCCCAAGTCTAAGTGGGAACACAACATACGTTCAAAAGAACAAATTTGGAAAGCATGCGAGACCAATTCGGAAGACGAAGGCGAAAGTTCGCAAAAGGAGCGACTCAGGAGAACAAATGACAGCTCAAACGACAGCGAACAAGTGTTTCCGGTCTTCGGGTTGGCCAAGCCCAAACCCTGCAAAAATAACCGACCGATTTCGGAACCCGAGAAGCAGCTACCTGCGACTTCCAAGCCCTGCGCCCTTACACTTACACCTAAATCGCCTAAACCCTACACCCTCAAGCCGCCAGCCACAGACCCGAGTACAGCTATGCCAAATGTTCCACCGTTTTCCTCCGCTTCCTGCTGAGAAAAAGGACCCAAATAAGGTGTTCCCGGGCCAGCCTCTGCATATTCACTATATACATCGTACTGAATATGTTAGGTGCCAAACCCTGAATGTTGGATGGTAACCCTCCGAACCCCGAAAAGGGACATACTGGTTGACACCTAGTAACCTTCAAACTCTGTATTGGTGACCGAAAACACTAAGATCGAAGAAGATCGTGCGTGGCAAACAATGAACCTTAAGAGATGTTGGTTGGCAAATCCCAAACACGAAAGAAAAGTGGTTGGCAACACCTCAGAACCCCAAAAAGGTGGCGAGTGGCAAACCCGAAACCACAAAACAAGCTTTTGTTGGCAAACGGTGAACCGAAGCTTTACATTAAAGCACTTGGTTGGCCAAGTCCTGACACCAAAACAACCCCAAACCCCCTAAGGAGGTTTGGTTGAGCCCAACCCGAAACAATGGAGAGGATACTTGGCAAACTCCAAAACCCTGAAAGAGGATCGTGGGTGGCAAAACCCCAAACCCTAAAAGACTCTCGTGGGTGGCGAACTCCAAACCCTAAACGACGAGAAGATATTGGTTGGTACTGTACACTCCACACTCATTTTACTCGGAGATGTTGACATAAAATTCCCAGCAGACCCGGCCCTCGGCGGTTTCCGAAGCAGTTTTCTAGATCGGCGGGCGGTGCTGGGTTTTCCGCACTTCTTTTTCCTGAATGCTGCACGCTCTCAATTTCTCACTCTCATTTGACAAATGGCACAGGGCATGGTACTGTACTTAACTGTAAAGACGATTCTGCTGCTGCGAAATTTGGAGACACATCCTCAAAAAAAAGGGTTATCGATTGTGAGAATGGGAAAGTGAATGCAATAAAGGCGTCTCGCCGTACGGCCGTGAAGGCAAAAAATCCTGCATACTTGAAGGTTAAGACTATCTGAAATCCCAACACCTTATCTGCCTCATTGTCGGGCCCTATTGGTTTCGCTTCTTGGCGAACAGGAAGACTACACGCATGCAAAAGCAAAAACGAAAACAGTATCCGGTGTCAAGTCAAACCCACCCACACACCCACACACCCACCCATCCGCCCAACCAACCAACCAACCGACCAACATCGACCGACCACCATGTTGAGAGCTGATGGCTTTGATCCTTGTCTCCACCCGATCAGCCCAGTGAACCACTGCCTGGTCGTGGAGCGCGGAGGATGGCGACGGATTGCCTTGCGGCTGACGGGGCTTTGGAAGCAATCGCTGCATTGCGCGTGCCATGCTGACCCGTACCGAAAAGCCTGCTTCCGTGCCCTTCGCGAAGCGCACGTGCGCTGTCGATGCCTTTGTCGGAGAGATGCCACATTGATTAATCGGACTCCAGGAACCTGAGAATTCGCCTCAACATGCCGATCGCAGCAGCAGAAATCATGCTTTAAGCTCTGATTCAGATCATCTCGTAAAACAACTTCGACACATGAACCATTGCTGATGTGAGTTGAGTACTCCTCAGGCACTGGCATTCCCGCTTTCCTCGTCCGCCGAAAACCGCCGATCTCAGTGTCGAAGCCCGGGGATTGCAAAAGGCTCAGGCGGCTCATGGCTTAGACAAACTGAGTGGCTGTGGTCGACCTCCACGGCGTCTATCGGGGGCATGACGGGGTGTGTGAGGGCCTGCAAAGAAGCAGCAAATGACCACGCTGCGACGTCACCCACCGGCTTCAAGCAGCATCTCTCGCATGCCTTCTGCAAACCAGTTAGCAGCTAGCTGCTATTCCAAAACTTGCGTTGTGCCTGAAGCTATTCTTAAAACTTCAGACAAGAATTGTGAGCACCTCAGCAGGGTGTTCGGCACACCTGCACAGGACTTCGCATGCACAGCTCTACCTTTTGCAGCAATGTCTCTTCATTTCCTGCTGTTTGAGCAGTTCTGCTGGGCAAGCCAGTCTCATGTCCAACATCCTTCCAGGCCTATGCAGGGTCCGAATTGCATCGATGAGCTGCTCATGACCTTCGCATGTGGACTCATACCGAAAGGCCGACAAATCCAAAAGCCAATAATATGTTTGCCGACTACAGGCAGATGCTGCACCTACTCACAGCCAAAGCTTAGTTCCAAACGAATCCGCCATTCCTGTGCACAGTCTCGGCATGCAGATCGAAAGCAAAGAAAGGGGATGTCACAAATCACGCGCTCATGTTGACCAGAGCTGGCCGTGGCATTTGCACGAGCATCTGCAGTCATGCGCGCAAGCAACGGCTATCCCACCATGCCTGGCCTCAGTGAAACTTGTCCTACGTTTTTGCGCATCCTGGCAGCAGCTGGCTCGAGAACTGTGCTACTTGGACAGCAAGACTTCAAACCGAAGACAAGCTTATGTACTTCCTTGACAACCAGTGCGAAAGCTGTGCAGACAGGGGAGTGCGATGCTCGGAGGTCTTCACTCCGGTCTCACAACTCTAGACCCAACCTTCAAGATGCTGTCCACGGAAGCTGCCACATCGCATTCGGTTGCAACCTGCAGACACCATGCCGCTGTGCTCGTGAGAACTGTAGAGATCAACAAATGTAAAGCGACGACCACAAGCTGTCGGAATAGACGGTTAGACAAGGCGTCTTTATTCCATAGAACTGACCGGGGTCCCTGCACAAGCCATGCAGTGCGTCAGCAGCCTCACCTGCTCGCGCTTAAGCCAATCCTCCAGCAGCCACCTCTTGGCTTTGGTGACCTCTGACGGAATCGACGGTTTGAGCCCGTCCCTTCACACCTCGCCAGGAACATGCGAGCCATCGGACCGATGCGTTTCCTAGTTCTTCGTGTCTGCGTGCGGCATGTCTCTACAGCTGCGGCGGGATGGCTAGACTCGGCTAGACTACCATCACGTGTGCGGATGATGTCTCGCTCTATGTCGTTGTGCTTTCTGAAGCCGTCTGTGTAGCACGCCTGCAAGACTTTCATTTGCCTTTCAATCGAGGCCCATGCCACTTAAAGCATAACGCTTTCGGTAGCAGAAACTTGACAAGCAGCGACTGTCCGAAAGCGAGAAAGCTTGCCCGTGTGCGCTTCCAGCTACATTCAGTCAGACTCCTGTGATGAATTTGACAACATAGGTAGAAACCGGTGCACACGACATAGGACAGAATAATCATGCCTGCGCAAATACACATTCGCCCTGGCTTGGGTAAGTTGAATTCTCGAAAGTTTAATTCTCGAAAGTCTACTGGTATCATCTTGTATCATCTATAGCTCACCTCCACACCGGTCGTGACGTGTCTTTGCTCCACGCAAGTCAGCATCTCACCGGTGCGACATAGTCGGAGCCAAGCTGGTGTCTCTTTCCGTTTCGTGAAGTTAATTCACGTAGTGGTGCTGAGAATGACAGCCTGGTCCCTAGCAATGGGTAGCTGCTACTGCCAGCGTCTACCACAAAGGTCACAGCAGCAGCAGAAATTGCCTTACAGATCTGCTTCAGGTGTAGGGGCACACGCCGGCATCATAGAAAACGTGCGCATCCTTTTGCGCATGTTTTGCAGGACACAGGGTCGCTTTCCTCAAGGTGCTTATCACATGTCTCTGCAGCTGTGCTTTAATCACGGGCAGCAACCCATGTCCTGGCACGATGTTCCACTTTTGCCATCTTGTTGTGCTTTGCAGCATTTCAGTTGGGTTTACTGGTTGAAGTTGTAACCGTGGTTTGCGCTCGGAAAGTACACGAGCATCACCAGCTTACCCATCATGCATGTAAGTCGGTGCTGTATCTATGCATGCCTTGCAAAACTGAAGCGTCAGCTGGGCTGTGTGGAACTTAGACAGACAGCGACTCTACATCGTGATACCTTGGATGTGGATACACCTCAACCCAGGTTCATCATGTCCCTGTCTAAGTACGCCCGTGATGTGAGACGACCGATCGCGCCGAAATCACAGCATTGACCAGGCCTGCACGAGGCGGATGCTTACAGACAAGCCAAGTCCACAGTCAAACAGCCAGCTTGACAGCTTCATGATAGCTCTCTGCAGGTATGCCGAGAATATGGAACAGCTTGCATCCAAGCCGCGCCAGCTCGACTTGCCTAGTCTATCTTCGCCTGCAGTCACCCAGGAACGTTGACTGCATGTGTTCGGAAAGATGCTGCACATTCTGGTACGAGTACCAACATTGCCTGTCGCGGTCGCGATCTCGGTCGCGGTCGCGGTCACGATCACGGTCTCGGTCCCCTCGCTCGCCACGATCTCGATCAGTCCTGAGAGCAAGCCCCAAGCCTGGACAAAGATAAGACTGGCTGCTGCACAGCACGTGAACGTGAAGCCTCTTGTTTCTAGGGTACTGACGCTGCCTTGCCAGCACCACCACCTGCACCAAGGAATGACAATCCACCCACCACATATCTGTGCGTCAGGGCAGTTGCTGCTTGTCACACTACCCTGTGCTGCCACCTTTCTTCTTGGTGCCTGCAGGATACCTGCCCGGAAGATCCCGGAAGGATATCAACACGACTTTGGAATTTCAGCAAATCAGATACTCGCACCAGGGATGCATTTTCATGCTGGCGACTGATATATGAGCTCCATTGACTGAATATGGCAACATGAGTCTTTGGGGCACTTGGGCGGGTTCTGCTTCGGAGCATCATCAATAAGCAGAAAGTTCAAGTCCTGAGAATGGCTTACAGCCTCGCGCTTACATTCGGCATCCGCTTATCCATCTATGCACCCGAAGCCGAGCTGGCAACGGCATGATCTGGCAGGATGACGTACCGGATGTTAGCTCCGCCTTACTTATGCTCTTGCCAAAAGACCAAGCAAAGGTAAGAAGCGCTTGGCAAAGGTGCTCTTTCAAGAGTAACGTTCAGGTTCGTCGGCTGGGTGTTCACAGGGCTTGCAGCATTTCGCCGGCCACCCGGTGCCCCTGCCGCCAATCTGGGAAGCTTGCGGATTGACAGGAAAGCCATGTTCACCGGATTCTTGTGCCGAACCTTAGCGATGCATGCCACTCTTCACAAAGCTTTAGCCCAAGGCCAAACAAAGCTCTCTTGATTGCAGTCGGGCAACCGTCACTTTAACCTGCTTGAGGTGTGTGTTCATAGACGTGTCCACAGCCGTGATGGTGCCCTGCAGATTTGAACAAGTTCACTGCAGCGACGAGAAATTGCAGCTGAAGCTCTGGTCAAGTTGGACCTTCAAGCGTCATCAGGTCAGGCCTTGCCTGCACTTGGGTGCCGTTCTTCAGCTCCATGGTTACGGTCTCATTGACCATCTTCCCCAAAAACCTGCGGACCAGATATCAAGACCTTCTGCGAATCTACAAGTGAAGAGACAGCTGTCGTCTCATCATTGAGAAGCTTGTCCTATCGGTCTTGGGGGCAAACCAGTTGACCAGTTCCCGGCAACGTCAACAAGTGCTTCGGATATCTTCCGATTACAGAGCTACCTTGCGCTTGCGCCGAGACCCCGCCTGTTGAGCTTCATGGCTGCTGGCAGCCCGTCGGTGGGTTCACCTGCAAAGTTAAGCGGGTGTGCGTCTTAGCTGTCCTGTTCTCTCACGTAAAATTCTGTGGGTTTTTGAACTATGAAGCAAATCGCCGAGGTTCTAGCAAAAGCGATAGGACAATTCACCCCCTGCCTCTCCAAGCAGTGCTCGGAGAACCCGCCCCCTCATGTGCCCGGAGCCAGGGCTGCATCAGATATGTTGAGTGACAGTCCGTCTTGGCAGTTGGCCCTTGATTCTCTGACACTATATAGGGTTTGCTTTTTGACGGGCCATATAGAATCCTTTCCATGCCCCTAGTAACTCCTAGCACACATGCTGGAGCAAACTCCCAGCACTGCGAATGCTCGTACCACAAACAGAAACGAAGGGTTAGTCGCATTCCGTCCAGCGAAATGTGTCTTAATGATCTGCGATAGCTGCCGTGATGCCTGTCCGTTGTTAGACGGTGCTTGCGCCTTTTACATTTATACCCATTGGTTTTCTGAGGTGACATTGCCTCGTTGCGCTTCGCACTTCACAGGACCATTGGCAGGGAGCAGAAGGAGGCGGGGCGGAACTAGCAAAGTCTAAATGCGAAAGCGCACCCTTTTCCCAGGAGCTTCCTCACAGCAGACAGAGGGAAGGGCGAGACAGGGGGAGAGGCAGGTCCGCACGAGAAGAGCGTGAGACGCAGTGCTCTTTGGCAGGCCGCAGGCCGGAGGGCGAGTGCAACAGAGCTCCCTGTTTTTCTGGTGCTCCTTGCAGCTACGGACCATTCCGCACCCCCACGCTGCTGTCCTCATGGGTCGTATGAACACGACTAGGACATCACTGACACACTACATGACTGCTATGCAACGATGAAAAGAGTCACTGCATTCGACGTGTGCTGCGTCTTTGCAGAATCCACTGTCTCCTTTTGCGGCAGCATGCTTTGTAGCAGTTCTTCATCTCGAGACCTGAGTGCACTGGAACACTGAGTGACTGAGTGTCGGGCCCGGCTGTGTTCTTGATGCTTGCGCTCTGACATGATACATCTGCGACGCATCTGTACAAACAAATCCTGAGACACCCGCACCAAAGAGCTCAGCGGAGCCCCTGGCCTGAAGCACGTCATTGCGTAGTACAACACAACGAGCAAGTCCTGTAGTTCCTGTAGAGGGATGGCTGCGATGTGCTTCCAAAATACTGAATACTGACAGCTCTCTGTGGCTTCCGATTTGTGCTCCCGGCTCGATCGTGGTGTCCGATTCAGCCAGTCGGGCAATCCTTACTGCACATCGCTTGAAGAGATAGTGCGTCGCTACAGTGACACATCTGCAAGTTCGACATGGACAGACTCAATTGCTTTAACAGACTTCACCATGCATGAGGTTCACCCTCGGACCTGCAGAGTCTGCAGAAAATCCTGCTGCCACGAAGCTGCACCATGTCGCAGACATGTTCAGCAGTTCGTCGCATGTCCTGGTTGCTGTCTTCCGTCGGTACTGGCTGGCAAAAGCAGGGCAGAACACGCTGCCTCTTCCAATTCCAGTGCGACCTGCACACGCTGGGCGTTAGCGAGGAGACAACCCGAGTCCGTGGGCGCCTGCACTGGCGCCTGCCACCCTTCTGGTGGCCCAGGCACCGGAGGCGGAGGCGGAGGAGCTGAGAGGCAACTTGGCACCTGCGACTGTTGGAAAAGCTTTACAAAAACTACCCTTTTCCAAGAAAGGAGCAATGTGAAGCGGAGAGCTCTGGCGAGTGACAATAACAGCTCTGGCTTACGTCGCCTCGATATGAACAAGGTCATGGCTGGAGGATTCAGGACTTCAGGAGTTTCCTTTGCGAATTGCTGCTGGCAGCGCGTGGACTTTATCGTGCCTTTGCGTGGCCCCGTCTGACAACGCAAAACACCAACCCGGGCAGTAACACAAAGCCCGAACCCCCAACCAAAACCCAAAACACGAAACCACAGAAAGGACCCAAACCCCAAGCCCACAACCTCAAGTCCAAACTCCATTTGCGAAACCTCGAGCCCTAAACCTCTAAACACCAAAGCCCTAAACCCGAAATTAATAAAATCTCGACTCCAGACCTAAAGCCCGAACCCCCAACCGAAACCCGAAACCACAGAAAGGGCCCAAACATCAAGCCCACAACCTTAAGTCCAAACTCCACTTTCCAAACCTCGAGCCCTAAACGGTTGAACACCAAAGCCCTAAACCTCAAATCTAAACCCTAAATTAATAAAATCTCGACCCTATACCTCAGGCCCGAACCCACAACCCAAACCCGAAACCCGAAACCACAGACCCCAAACCCCAAGCCCACAACCTTAAGTCCAAACTCCACTTTCCAAACCTCCAGCCCTAAACCTTTAAAAACCAAAGACCTAAACCTCAAATCTAAGCCCTAAATCAATACAACCTCGATCCCAGACCTAAAGCCAAAACCCGAAACCCGAAACCACAGACCCCAAACCCCAAACCACAAACCCTTAAGTCCAAACTCCACTTCCCAAACCTCGAGCCCTAAACGGTTGAACACCAAAGCCCTAAACCTCAAATCTAAACCCTAAATTAATAAAACCTCGACCCTATACCTCAGGCCCGAACCCACAACCCAAACCCACAAACCAAACCCGAAACCCGAAACCACAGAAAGGCCCCAAACCCTGCACCCACAAACCCCAAGCCCACAACCTTAAGTCCAAACTCCACTTTCCAAACCTCCAGCCCTAAACCTTTGAACACCAAAGCCCTAAACCTCAAATCTAAGCCCTAAATTAACCTCGACCCCAGACTGAAAGCCCGAACCCCCAACCCAAACTCCAAACCCAAAACGACAGAAAGGCCCCAAACCCCAAGCCCCAACCTTAAGTCCAAACTCCACTTTCCAAACCTCGAGCCCTGAAACCTTTGAACACCCACGCCCGTTAGACAAACAAATCGCCAAGCAAAACATGAAAGCATAATCCAATGCTCTTTCGAAATTGTCAAAGTGTCGCAATGTTTGAAAACGGGACTTGAAGATGCCCAAAGCACATTGCTTTCGTTTTCCACGAAGCATCGAAACAGCAACTGCAATAGCATTGGCAGCAGCAAAAAAGCAACAGCAACAACCAACAACACGGCGCATGAAAACTCGTTTAAACACCACAAATACTGTTTTGCATCCTTTGAAATCTCCGTAGCTTCCAACACAAACGAGTTGGAAGTGAAGAAGAACGAACAAAAAATCGAACTACTCTGAGTATCTCAAGGTCGCACAGAAAACCCTGGTTTCCAACCTTGCAAGTTGGGGGCTGCGTCCCCTCCAACCTTCGCACACAAAAGAAGAAGCCACAAACGCTTTTGGAGCTCTCTCTCTGGTACGAGTGTCCAACCCACGCCACAGCACAGCACAGAGAATCGTAAATCTAAAATTCAAGGGGGAGCTCTCTGTTCGACTTCCGGTTACGAGCAGATTTCGGGCTTAGAACTCGCCCAGAGCAGTGCTCCTGCGAGACCTGAAACTGCACTACGATGCATTTCTGAGCCGATGTGGCGTAGGAGCTCCTACCTGGATTTTAGATTTACGATTCTCTGTGCTGTGCTGTGGCGTGGGTTGGGCACTCCTACCAGAGAGAGAGGTCCACTCGATTGTCGGAAAAATTGTCCACCCGGGTGGACAATTGGGTGGACAAATTTTCCGACAATCGGGCGGGCACGCGGGTCGCAAATAGAGGTACAGGTAGAGGTACAGGTAGAGGTGCACGTAGAGGCACAGGTAGATGTACAGGTAGAGGTACAGGTAGAGGTACAGGTAGAGGTACAGGTAGAGGTACAAGTAGAGGTACCGGGTACCCTAACCGGTACCCTAGTTTGAGCAAGTTTGCAACAACATTGGGGCAAGGTGCAAAGTTGGAACAAAGTTGAGCAAGATTGCTCTCTCTGGGGAAGGTGCACTCCACTCCTCGGCCGACGAACCGTCCACCCGCCCCGCCGTTTTTTGGTATCAGTGTTTTCGATAGTTTCGGTGTCGTTTTGCTTTGGCGTTTGCTTTGCAGTTTTTCCAATTTGTTTTGGCGCTTGCTTGGTTTCAGCCTTGCAGTTGTTCATTTCTGTTTTTGTGTGCTTCGGTGGTCGCTTCGTTTCAGCGTTGCAGTTATTCCTTTCTAAAACCTCGACCCCAGACCTCAAGCCCGAACGCCCAACCCAAACCCCAAACCCGAAACCACAGCCCCAAACCCTACACCACAAACCCCGAGCCCACAACCTTAAGTCTAAACTCCACTTTCCAAACCTCGAGCCCTGAAAACTTCGAACACCAAAGCCCTAAACCTCAAACCTAAGCCCTAAGTTAATAAAACCTCGACCCTATACCTCAAGCCCGAACCCACAACCCAAACCCGAAACCCGAAACCACAGAAAGGCCCCAAACCCTGCACCCACAAACCCCAAGTCCACAACCTTAAGTCCAAACTCCACTTTCCAAACCTCGAGCCCTAAACCTTTAAACACTAAAGCCCTAAACCTCAAATCTAAGCCCTAAGTTAATAAAACCTCGACCCTATACCTCAAGCCCGAACCCACAACCCAAACCCACAACCCAAATCCGAAACCCGAAACCACAGAAAGGCCCCAAACCCTGCACCCACAAACCCCAAGCCCACAACCTTAAGTCCAAACTCCACTATCCAAACCTCGAGCCCTGAAACCTTTGAACACCAAAGCCCTAAACCTCAAATCTAAGCCCGAAATAAGCAAAACCTCGACCCCAGACCTAAAGCCCGAACCCCCAACCCACACCCGGAAACCGAAACCACAGAAATCCAAACTCCACTTTCCAAACCTCGAGCCCTGAAACCTTTGAACACCAAAGTCCTAAACCTCAAATCTAAGCTCTAAGTTAACAAAACCTCAGACCTCAAGCCCGAACCCCCAACCAAAACCCCAAACCCGAAACCACAGAC